GAATGTAATTGAGTAAAATGGTACGGGAAGAATGACCAAAAAATATATAGCTACAAGGTAAAAAAGGGGGAAAGATGGAGGAACGGGGTATAGTTATATTGGAAATACTGGAGGTAAAGAAGGGCCATTGTGGTGGTGTTGTTGTATCCGTCAGTATGGAGAGGATTAACAGAGATTAAGGAGGCTACAAAAAAAGGGAAAACAACGAGCGAAGCAAGATAGTCAAACAGCATATGTTGTGAAAAAGATATAGGAAATGTAGTAAGGACATGTGTGAAGGCTAAATGTAAAATTGGTGCCCAGTGTTTCATCCCTAAGCTGCAAACACAGACGGTATTCGGTGTGTGGAATGGGGGATGCAAAACATACTACAGCAGCATGAGTTTCAACCCATAATTCATGTAACTCCTGAATCGTTTTGAACTGAAAAACCTCCTGAATCGTTCTGAATTAAACTTGGAGTCTTTATATTCTTTTTTCTTAAATTCTTGCGTGAATTGTCATGACAGTACCGTTTGTATCAGGTTGGAATCGCAGTACTTCGTTAAAAGTAAAGGAGGGAGGGGAGGTGCAAACGTAGCCTCTTTCGACGAATTTAGATCGCCTAGTGCCTCAACGTGTACAAAATCTTGTTTATATTTCTCAAAAATACTTTGATATTTTGCGGGTATTGTCCAATCAGCATGGGAAAGTTCTATGATTGCAACTTTTTATGTATTTAACGGAAATTCCCCAATCTGTAAGAGGTCAGAAAAGGTTCCTGATCTCTTTCTCATCAAATTTTTTTTTAGGAATATGACGAAAACGACGTAGCAGTTGCATTTTCGGAGCCTCTGATACATACTTTCTGCAAGAATAGTGCTGTGATTAGCTATCACGGGTCTTTGTTCAGTGAAATATCGTCGCGAAAATGTGTTTTGTTGCTTGGCGATAGCCTCGGAGGTACAGAATTTTCTTGAAATACCGTAAATTTGTGCATTTATTTGCACTTATTCCGGTTTTTCTTTGGCACTTTGGACGGCAGCGACTTCCGCAGCACCACCATTGATGCAGTTGCCAGCGTCTTTATTCTCCTCATTTTTGGATATTTCGCACTCACTTATTAAAGGTTGAAGAGAAAATATCAAGAAAAAAGCAAAGAAAAGGAGGAAAAGGGTAGTAAGATGGGAAAGGTGTCTAAAGAAATATTTGTTATAGGTAAGAAATGTTTCGGTCCATTAAGTCGTATATTCGGATGTGTTTATTCATCTCGATAAAATCGTATGAATTACACTGAACAGCCCGCCTTAGCCATCTCCGGCCCAGCTCTTCATTGCTATCATTTTACAGATCTAAATATGGATGTTGGCGTGCAAGATGAGCAAGTTGCACTGAAAATAGGCTTCTTAAATTTTGACAGCGAAGCATTGATGGGTAAATTTCTTGACGGTTACGATATTGTGTTGCTCGATGATCAAAGTATGCAGGTGCCAAACCTGATTCTCGATTCACTTTTCGGCATTGGAGGTGCACCGGATGGCGATGATGTGAATTTATGTATGTTTTGTCGAAAATTTCGTATTGTTTTTTTCTTGTGGGTGCACGGTGTGTGTGTGTGTGTGTGTGTTTATTGCTGAAATCTGTCATCTGTGTTGCCTTGTGAAAAGAGTTCAACGCAATAAATTCTCTCGTTCAGTTGCTTTACGGCTTAGATCAATTAGCCTTGGACCTATGCCAACAACTGTTGCACGCCGCTTATTGATGAGTTTTACCCGTGAAAAAAACGGGCATCTGAAAAAGATGGCGCACATACATCGAATAACAACGATGAGTACCGGCTGGAGGTGTGCAACCCAGGATCGGAAAGTTTCAGCAAAGCCACCGTCGGCATGTGGGGGCGCATCTCAGGGATCCACACATTGGTAGTCCGAGCGGTCTTTGCTTTACATGTGTTTGTCTTTTCGATATTTTCATGCTTGCTTTGTGCTTCTTATTCCCTCTGCTTTTGCAGTCTGCGAAAAGGTGTAGGCGCTTGAGAATAGCCGGAGCGATAGTAAAATGCTAGCAGCAACCATCCGCTGGCAAGACTGTCAATGACTTCCTCTTTCAAGGGTTGCTTAGAGCAAGCTGATGGCTGGTTTGACATATGCCAGTACCAATTTACCATCGAAACGAATCGCAGAGACCGCTGGGGTGGACTTGTTGCTGGACAACAGTGCTACTGCCTCTCCTGCTGCTATGCTGTGCCCGCCACCGATGTGTTCAATCTGTGCTTTACTTTGTGTGATTTTATTTTCAGCAACCTGTACAAGTTGTCGTTTCGAGTCTGAAAGCCAGCTGAACACAGACAACGAGGAGGAGTCGGTGAGCCGTACTACAAATGTACAGGCCTGAGGCCGCCAGAAAAACTTTCTCATTCGTCTGTTGCGAAGTTCTGTGACGACTGTTTAGGCATTTATTTGTATTTGTGTGTA